AGTAGTTCCAAAGATTACCTTACATACAAACTTACAAATTTACCTCTTTCTAATATTAGTATAGATGAGAGATGATGATGATGATGATGATGAGAGATGCTCTGTTTTTTTTTGTTTGTGGGTATAAAATCAACAAATGACTTCGCTCACTCTAAGGTAGAGCTAATCTGCTAGAGGGAGTACTGTTACCGAATACGAGACAACCTTCAAACCTTCAAGAAACAAGCGTACTCCTTAAAAGGTCGGCAATGCGTCTGCGACTCCTCTGGTGTTACAGCTGTTTTTCATTTTGAGTCATGTTATTGTCCACGTTTTTTTCTAATGTCAGTCTAATATCACATTAAAACATTCATACCAAGTCACGTGCAAAAGCTAGTTAAAAAAATAAACATGAAACAGTCCACGTACAACGTGAGTGGAGTTAAAGTTCATTTATCTATAAAATATAAGTTATAAGGGTCGGTACACATGAGCTACTCGCGATAGCCACAAAAACGTACATTAAAATCTGCAAAGCTAACGACTACAAAGATAAGGAATAAGTAACAGAATAGAAAAAGAAGAGAAGTATATAGAAGAAGTTAAGAGGTATTGGCACTTCACCGTCGATATGACAACATGAAAATAGGTGTCTAAAGGGTTTTCCTCGTGTAACTGGTGGATGGACGAAATCTATTTAAAGGCGAAGCCCCGAGTCCAGCAATCGTCTTCCACAGGCTATTGAAGACGGTGATGATAATGCTAAAGAACCAAGTGATCAGTTCACAATTGGAAATCAAGTGATTGTTACTTGTGGGAGAACCATGCTTCGGCATGAATGGGTCGGCTCCACCGCAATGATACCATGGTATAACAGAAACCGGCGTGAAACAACCACAGCGTAGTGTTTCGCCATGTGACTGAGGTTACCGGAGACCCAATCCTTCCTCTCCCCCAATCCCTTCCCAATCCTTAAATCCTCAAAACCCTAATCCTAAAGATTGATAATGCCCTTGTAACTGACTTCCGTTGTTGCGGATGTCCATGAGTGGGCGCTGATTTCTGAGGTACCATCAGGTAATCCGTAATGTTCGTTTCTAGTCAGTCCTATCACGTTAAAAATACTACTTCACAGCATTATAATAGATTCTAACGTAGAAGGATCAAAATAAATCCTAATAAAAAAAGTTGCCGAACGGTGACTCGTGTGTCACAGCCCTAGGGTTATTGAACTCTCATATCCAACAAGTATTATGAACACTGGTCTATTCCATATTTAACTATCTATAAGACAAGATAAGCTTGATTGCACAATACAAATATGGCGCTAATATATTACGTAAACAATTCAAATATTTTGTTTATCTAATTTATTTTTTGGAAGCTAAAATGATAGGTGATGGATTATGTTAAAGTCAATATTAAATCCAGTTTTGGTTCTGTTGATTTAAAAATCAGTGTATAGTTCCGTAGCAATTATTAAGGGGTTTTGTAGTTTAAAATACATTTTTGGATTCTCTCTGAAGGACTGTATTCAGAGAACTAAAGTTGTCGACATTTTTTTGCCCCAACGTCTTCTGGGAACTTTGCCTGGGGAGACGAAGGGGACTGTCAGACTGTTACTGACTAAAAACCAATTTGGTGTCCTGTCTCTCACGTGGGCTTGAGGGCTTTTTTTGTAAGGGGAAAATCATCAAATGACTTTTTTCGCCCAGGGCCGGGCGGGAGGGAGTGTCAGACACCTACTGACTAAAAACCCTGTTCCTTCTCCTGCTTTGGGCCGAGGTCGCGGTGCCTCATTGCGCTTACCCCGCAACCCCGGGTGCGGAAATCATATTCATCCGCAGGTGGACATAGCCCAAAGGATTATCAAACTGAAATAGCAGTTCGCAGTTCGCATTCTTAATTTTTTTATTCTAGTTTAGTTTTTCAAGTTTTAAAAGTGTTGGTTTAAGCCTAAGTTTAAACAAAGAAAACATGATTTCATTTCATGACCTCTAAAGTGTTAAGTCTCATATTTAATTACCCACCTAAATATAATTTGTGTTATTGCAAGTAAAAGTTAAAACGTAGTGTAGGGCGCCCTCCAGCTAGGTGGACTGTCGACATCCGCAGGGTGGCTGGCAGTGGTTGGATGAGAAGAGCTGAACATCGAGCTCAGTGGCGTGCAATTGGGAAGGCCTATGTCCAGCAGTAGACGACAACAGGCTGATGATGATGATGAAGTAAAAGTTGGTTAGTAATGATAAGAGATAACCATTATTATTCTCAGTTTGTTTGTGTGTGTGTTTGCTTGTATGCATGTGTGTAATGTTTTGTTGTAGAGTAGTAGTACCTACAAAAAAAAATGTCTTTGGAGACGATTTTTTTGTTACTAATTAGTTTATAATTAAATATTTATTACAAAAAATGGGTTTACCTTTTTCAACTACTCCGGGGAATAACCACAACGATACTATTCATATTGTATACGAAAATTCTCATAACCGTGTTAACAATCTCCAAATGTATCACTTCTAGGAATTTGTTATTACTTTATTCATTAAAGATTCACAACACGGTGGATTTTTTTTGCAAAATCACGATCAGCACGTCGATACTATAAAATTTGTTTGATTTTGAATTTTGTTCGAGTGCGAAGTAAGCGTCGAAGTGACGGGGAAATTAAATTTTAGAATGCCACTTTTAACGTCATCTCATACTTTATCAATCAAAATGTTGCCGTCAATTTAGTTCAACTCGCAAGTGTAGCGCTAGTGTACTACTACTCACAGCGGATTCAGATTCGAAGTTTAGAATGAAGTTTTACAGAATCACACTGCAGATTTTAGCCTCGGTTATAACCCAGTACTTTTGTCGTCCTTTTGGTGGTTATGGATTTGACGATGAGGATAGCGGCAGATTGGTTCTTTCACAACTAATAAGTAAAATGTTATATTCCATTATTGTATTACTTTTGATATTTGATATATTCCATCATTGTGTCATTTTTGATATTTAATTTTGAGCTACCAATGCGGTTACCAAGGGATCTCTGTTTTAGTTTCTCGGTTTCTTCAACAAGTGAAGTCATTATTAGCATTTGCTTAATGAGGTGCCGAGTGCTTACCTACAATAAGTTTACTATTACATAAATATCGACTTAATTTTAACGAAATTCTCCTGGAGTCTGTCGTGGCTCTGTCAGTTGTTCTATGAGCATACTATATAGGTTTCTTATTATTAGTCTGAAATTCATACTATTAATAACGTACTTCTTTAAAGGGAATTATGTTAATGTTGACTTTTTTGAAGGGGGTAATGATCCAACGGTTTTTCTTGCCCCACCTAGGATGGGAGAAATGGTTAGAGATCAGACTCTTACTGTTTAAAAATCGACCCATTCCTTTTCTACTCCAGGCCGAGGCCATACATTATCGCGCTTAACCCACAACTCCGATGATAGACAGTTGTTGTTGTTTATTAGAACAAGCCCGCAACAACCTCCCAAAACCGCTGCAATTCCTGTAAGCCAGGATCTATAGTAGATACAACCATGGAAACACCGGAACACTGAAGTCGGGCGCGTCCCAGGGACTTAAATGACTGTCTTGGATCCCGTAACGAAATAAATCAGAAGATATCATTTGAGGAGAACAAAACAATCCGATGATAGTATTGACTTAGGTAGGTGTAGGTATACATCTTAATTATAAAATTGTTGTGTCACAATGTAAGTTATCTTACTCCTCCGAAACGGCTTTACTGATTTGTACCAAATCTAACAGGCATATTTATTAGGTCTGAGATTCGACTACTGGCTTTTTCATACCCTTAAGCTATTTTTAAGATAAGGGCTGTTTACGCTTAATTTTGTTTTTCGAAATGAATTATATTATGGCAAAACAACGTTTTCGGATTCAGCTAGTATTTATGTAAATATGTGTAAGTTGATATCTTGTTTACAAGACAAGGCGATTAGACGAGGGAAGATGAAAGATACAGTCAATGACCACAGTACTTTGAACTATTACTGTTTACCGACCACGGGTAACCAGTTATTCTAGTTCAGCTATTACTAGTTATATTTACCGAGGTTAAGGATAACTTTGTGCGAGATATTAAACAAAAACTCATCAACAACTAAGTTATAATTAATTATGCAAATAATCAAAGTTCCAAGCTTCCTTATTAAGTTGTTTTGGTTTTTTTTACTGTTGGGGATTATATTTTGAGATTTAATTAGTATTTTACGAGCAATATGAATGATAATATGTTTTTAAGTCATGTCACAAGAGTTTTTAAGTTAGGAAATATGTGTAAATGATACGTGTCTGACTCTTACTGACTGACTACAATGCACTTCGTTCCTTTTTGTCTTCCGAGCCGAGTTTTTGGTAGATTATTGCGCGTATCTTTGGTGGCTCTTTGAGGCATGCATGGAACGCGACGCGTCTAAGTCCTAATCTAAAGGTTCAATAGACCACGAAGCCAAAAGCCCAGGGATTTTTCCTTCACGAGACAGATTCAAATTTATAACTTAACATTACAGTTCCTTTAGTTTTTGTTAGATAATATTTGTTGTCATAAAGAAATTTTTGATGCGGGTAGCAGAAGATAAGCGGATTTTGGATTTTAAGAAAAACCATTTTGATTTGCAAAAGTGACCTTTGGTAAACTTTTTAGGTACTTCTCATAATGTGAAAAAAATTTGGAATCCTGACTAGCAATATCTTTTTTTAATTTTTTAAATTAAGTACTTTTGTATAATAACTACTCGTGGTATTTGGGTTTAGGTGTATTTTTTATAAGTTTTGCTCCTCTATTCTCTAGCTTTTTACGACAAAAATGTTTATCCAATGCGGTGCAGTATTTCAGAAAATATGTGTGCAATAACATTTCCGCGATTACAACAACAAAATTATCTCACGAAGATTAATGATGTTACAACCATCCGAAAGTACCAGGCTATCAGAAACGACAAGCAATCTCAGTCCCCACGCACTACTCGTAATAGATCAAACTCAATCGGACGACCTTTATTTACCATGTCACGATGTACGCTCGATAGCTGTGAGAACCTAACGACTTATGCAGTCCTGGTACTTGTATCTATTGATCGGCAGACTTAGATGTATGTTTTATATGGTATATGAACATAAAGTGGTCGCGGAAGAGATCAGTGTGGTTTTGACGTTGTGCCAGACAACATGAGAGTGCTCGGTTTAATATTTTTGGGGCTAAACGTGAGTAAATATTTAATTAATTAATTAAAATGACATTTCATTTTGATTTCTCTTTCGTTATCGTGTTTGTTATACAATTTTATTATAATCTGGTGAACGGCTGGGTATGTTATGATCTTTCCTCTGTAGGATTTAGCTTGTCCCAACAAATATTTAAAAGTTTTAGTTTATATAAAAAAAAAAACTCGTGGTTAAAAAAATACTTTAGTGTTTTCATACTTTAAAAAAATGGCACAGGGGCCCGACAAGAAAAATAATAAATTGGATTTATATAAATTAATTATTATTAGGTATATTTGAAGACAGTTGCAATTCCCGAATTTGACAGTCGAATTTTTTTATTCACTTTGCCTAACAATTGACTGTCAAATTTTTTATACACTTTGCCTAACAATAATAAATACGTATTATAAAAATTGGTGCAGTTGTTTAGAAGCTATTCACGTACATAAATACAAACATATATTTCGGTTGTTCGATAACATTTAAATACAAGTAAAGATACTAAAATATACAAAGAGACAGTACAACATATGTACATCTGTTTACTTTCACAATTTTAGTATAGGCAATAAAGCGTATACACTCTTTAAATGTATGTATGTATAGATTTTAATTTACGTAATTCGATTTACCGATGATAGATTATAGTTTATCTGAATTAGTTTCATAATTCAATAGTAACTGTGTATTAATAACATGATATACCGGGTTTGCGGGCAAAGCGCAATGACACTTAGCGGGTTGTCTCGGAGCAGATAGACGAAGGAGGTGGTTTTTAGTCAGCAAGAGCCTGGTAATCTCGCTCCACCTAGACCGGGAGAAGGGGTTTTGATTTGTTCATTTAATTGCAAAAAACGTGTTTCAATTATTATATATTTGTAGTGCAAATGTTATCATAGGTTTTCTGTTAAGTATGTATTTACCAACTACTGATTTTTAAGCCATATCCATGATAACAATAAACCCCTTCTCCAGGAAATAATCAGAGTCATAAAAATATCACCTAATTTTTTAGCAGCTTCGATAAAACTATACTACTACAATCTATCTCTCTAATAATTTAGTTCAAAATCCATTTAGTAGTTTTGACGTGTAAGAAAAACAAGCAGGGATCCGTCCATCCATAGGGACTTCAAAATTTTCTTTAATTATAATATTAGAAGGACGATTCAAAGTATCCTTTTGAATTAAAATTTATTTTAAAATCAAAGGTTTATTCTAGGTAACTTACACAGTCTCAAGCCACTTATTCTCCTTTTATAAAATTGTTTGTAACTACTACTGTTATGTTTACTGTATTGTTTGTACTAATTAATTAACATGTAGTAGGTAATACTACATGTTAATTAATTAGTAAGAAAAGTATAAAATTTAGTCAGACTGAGTCACTAGTAGTAGATGGGTAGTCATTATTACTTTTTCCGAACTGGAATCAGCACTGAGACATCATGAACATGAAAATTGTGATTCAAAACCTTTTAAACAAAGATGTTCAATCAAACATGTTTAGATTTTGGCAAATCCCTTTATAACGGATTAGACCGGTAAACGAGTAGACGGATCACCCGATGGTAACGACCATGGACACCCGCAATGCCAAAACAGCTGCAAGTGCGTAACCTCATGCACACTATATCGTCTCGTAGTGTAACAGGACAAAAAACTTTGTCCTGCACTACGATTCTCTCTTTTGTTCGTTTACAAACTCACATCGACAAGCCACCCGGACCAGGAACCAATAATCTGTGGATCACACATCGAACCTGCGGCACGTTGCATAGCGGCTAGTTGCTCAGCCACTTGCGACAACCGTGCAATCAAAAAGTACAACGCAAGTTTTATTTCACACAGTTTTCCGTGAAGCATTGGTCACGCTTCAGTCAAGCCGGCGCCGCGGCGTCTTCATGCCGAAGCATGGCTTTCCCACAGTTAAAAACACGCTCTCATCTACTAGAGACCTTAAGCGCGACCACAGCCTAGAGCAGGAGAAGGAACGGGGGGTTTTTAGTCAGTAAGAGCCTGACTCTCTCTCGCCTCACCCCGGGCGGGAGAAGTCATTTGATGATTTATTGTATTACATATCTAGAATCCAGTCGACGACTATCCGTATATTTTATTTTGTTCTAGATTGTTCTAATTAATTCTCATTCAGTTACGTAGCCTCCATTCACCAGTGGTCATTTGATTTGTCAAACGTCATCACACAGAAGATCTGTATTGTTTAACCTTAAGATTTGGATCGGATTAAGCAATTATTACGACATCAAACTTTAAAATAACCTTCCACATAAAACCGACTCTAAATAAAAGGTTAAGTTAGATTTATAGATAATGTTATTAATGTAAATAAATAATTATGAGCGAAGAAAACATTATTTAATTAAAAACAGACACGTTTTTGGGGTTTCTTGATTTGTTGGAGGCGTTAGTAAAAATATTCAATTATGACATACTAGCTTCCGCACGCGGCTTTGCCCTAGTGGTATGTTGATAAATACATCCATACATTGTTACACAAAATTTATCATTTAATATTAGTATGGATGGATTGTGTGAGAAGTGATATGGAAGACGGAGGAGTTAGCGATAGCGTGACGGGTGACAGGACAGAATGGAAGAAAAAAACATATTGCGCCGACCTCAAATAAAACGGGACAAGGGCAAGAAGATGATGATAAATATTACTAGGATTCACAGGATTGTAAAAATATTGGTATAGGTACCTACAAATAATAAACAGTGACTTTAACCACCAGGTCAATGGGCAAAACAGGGTTGATTATATTATATCCAAGTATGTTGATTATCTTCTGAGTAAAAAAAAACTGTGTAAATGCTTCGAAAAAGAAAGTTGAAGAACCCACATTCGCATTTACAATGTTGGTGGGAATGACATCTGTAGTTCTTCGAGTGACTTCTCACCGTGAGTAAGGGCGGGAGGGAGTGTCAGACTCTTACTGACTTAATACCCCCACGTTCCTTCTCCTGCTCTAGGCTGTGGTCGGCGTAAATTATTTCGCTTGACCGCATCCCCGGCTGTGTGTGGAAAAGGTTTATTGACATACTCCTTTTTCAAAAATAGTTATTGTAGTCTTATTTTAATTACTTCTTTTATTTTGATATTATGATTTTCTTAATTTAATTTGTAATATATTTTATATGTGATTAAGTTTTTTCTATTTTGATATCTTTTCGAAATATGTTTCTTTTCTTTGACTATTTCTGATTTTTTGTGTGATGTTTTTTTTGATTATGATGTTCAAAAATAATTTGACATGAATAACAATGTAAATTGCGTACTCCTGTTAAGATTATATTGTGCACTTTAATAAATACTTAAAAAAATAATAACTACTAGAATAACTGTACCTATTAAATCCTATCAAGGCTTAATACTGACCAACGATTCCCAAATTAAAATTCTATCTAAGTACTCTAGAAGGCGCTGCAGGTTTTTTTAGTGCCTCACATTTAAACCAGATTTGTTTGTTCAACATCAATATGTGTAAAGAATTGAAATGAATTAATTCGTATTCATGGAAAATAGGCTTGAATTATGCTTAGTAGTGGGCCTTGGGGAGCTGATGATGATGTCAATATATTTAATAGAACAAGAAAAAATCATCAAGACTGAGAAGCAGCAGTGTGATTCTGTAAGACTTCATTCCAAACTTCAAATCTGAATCCGCTGTAAGTTGTAGTACACTAACGCTACTCTTGCGAAGTGAACTAAATTGACCGGAGCATTATGATAGATAAAGTTTTAGATGACGTTAAAAGTGGCATTCTATATTGTAATTCGCTCACTTCACACTCGAACAAAGTTCAAAATCAAACAAAAATTGTTTTTATTTATATTTGTATATGTTTAATTGTATTTTTTCGCAAAAATACATCTTATCTTTACTCGGAGGAGGCCCATAGTCACCAGTAACATGCTGTTCTTGTTGTTGTTGTTGTTGATGATGATGACGATAGTGATGATGGTAATTTCATTTTCTAGGTGGTGTTAGCTACGCAGCCTCCTTGCGTACTTCTTAATGATGGCAACAAAATGCCCATGCTTGCTCTGGGGACCGGCAGGGGCACCGCCAAAGAGGTAAGATTTATAATTTTCTAAATCAGCAGTATATAACTACCGAATTGAGGTCGGCAAACAAGCAGACGAATTAATCGATGGTAAGCAATCAGCGCCGCCCTTAAACATATATATACCAAAGAGTTACTATAAGTGCTTATGGGTTAGTGCTTGTTACGTAGCTACTTGTGGGTTATTAGGGATATAAGAATAGGAGATTTGAGGATTGAGAATGGGTGAGGGTTAAGTATCCGTTCATGATTTTTGAGTTGTGGTTTGATCCCGAAACTAAGTATCGTTGTCGACAGTGATAGAAAAGTTAGAGAATTCGAACTTTTAGGTATGGGTTGATGAGATTAAACTTAAGTTTGTTTATCAAATAGCCGAGGTGGAAATTATTGTTATACCTACTTTAGCTGTGTGTCGGTTAAAGGCGTAAGCAGTACAGAACAAGGGCGAGATGCAAACCTCTCTAGTGAGGGTTAACAGCACTTATAATAGTTGCGTGAGGAATATATGTGGATTGATATACCAATACCCCTTCAAAAATTGCCCTACATTGCGTTACCTTGTATTGACTTCAACTTCTCAATCACCTTTGGTTGTAAACAAAAGCTACGCTTTACATGAATGATCAGTGACAAAAAAATATTAAGTATATGTAATTGGAAAGTTTACCTTTTAACTAATAGTATAGGGCACTTTTTATCCCGTTTTTTGTCCTAGGTCGGAAACTAGGACAATTTTTGTTCCATCATTCCTGCAGTCCTATTATTCAAAAGGAGCCTAAAAAGCCCCAGTCGGATATTTTTTTTTAATTTAGATTAACGCTACTTTTTACCATTCCAGACAGACACGCTAGATGATGTTCGCAACGCGGTGTTCTGGGCTATCGAGGCGGGCTACCGTCACATCGATACCGCAGCTGTGTATGGGGATGAGGAGCAGGTTGGGCAAGGAATAGCTGATGCTATTGCCAAGGGCATTGTTACTAGAGACCAGCTCTTTATTACAACTAAGGTGAGTTTAATTGCCAATTAATAATACTTACTGGTTTTATTCCAGGAGAGATTTGATATAGGTATTATTCTATTATAATACGCTAAGGTTGGCAGCTAGCTGATTTGTGCCTGTTACATTTGGATTTTATTTTTGTAGATTAAGAAGTGATGACTTATTTACTTCTAAATGATTTTGATATTACAACAATTTAGAAAAATTCTATATTTTTAAAAGACAGCGAAAACCATGTCAGCCCCAAAAATGTTTTATGCGAATTACTAAATCAGACTTTTTTCTGATAAACTATTTACACTCTTTCAGCTATGGAACGACAAACACGCTCGTGACCAAGTGGTCCCCGCCCTAAAGGAGTCCCTCTCCAGACTGGGCTTGGAATACGTTGACCTTTATCTCATTCACTTCCCCATCTCTACTAAGGTGAGTCACAGAATTTATCATAACATCCTGGGAATTTCTCATAAGATTGGTATATTGATGCAGTCCTTAGAAGGGCAGACCAATAGCCAACTTGTTGAGCGTTAAGCCTCGTATAAGCGGAGGTCTGCGGATGGCTAGCAAGGGAAGCTCGGTGCCCGACCAGAACCAGATTCGAGCGTAGATACAGCGCGTTGCGTTCCCCGCGCCTTACAGGTAGACCCTGAACGCTCAAGCGTTTCGTGGCAAGCCAATAAGGCACTGCGGCCTCGGCCTAGAGCAGGAGAAAGAACGGGGAGAATTTTAGTCAGTAATAGTCAGTAACAGTCTGGTACACCCATTACACCACCCACCACCCATTACATTTCAGTGAAATGTAATGCAAACATTTTAAAAAACTCTTTTTACAACAGGATTTACTTAAAAAAATTCCATTATGTACAAAGGCACACAAACCAACAAAAAAGTGGTTATAAAAACTGTAACATAATCAAATTGCTAATAACTAGTCTACTCACAAATAAAATTAATTAAATTAGTTCAAAATTTTATGTTTTCCTTTAACAAGTTCAGTTTTTTATGCAATGACATGTTTATTAGCCGGTACTAATCAATAATGCTAATTGTAGTGGTGCAACTATTTTAGATCAAGAATGACTTTGACATTTATTACGAATAAATAAATCATAAACAAGATTTTTGCAAAGTCAAAATGGTATTATAATTTTGGTAATTAAGAACTCGTTGCGTCCCGTTGATAACATCGAACAAGACTACTATCAGCTTAAGGTACACTAAGTATTATCTACATATATTATAAATATGCTGTACAAAGCACCAAAGATTATGTACAGTAAATAATGAGAGAAAACAATAAAATACAATTAAAAACAAAAAAAAATTAAATATTCAACAATATGCGTGGACAAAACCGACCTACAGCCCAAAAGTGGACGATCAATGACTTTTATTGTGTGATACTTACCTACATAAATCTACACTTTATCTCACTACGAATAATCATCGATAAAACACACAGCTTCAATAATTAAAATCAAGTTTGTAATTAAAACATTCTTAGTGTATATCAGGACATCGCAAATGCACGATTTAGATACTGTATCTATGGAAATTGGAATAATTAACTTTTAATTAAAATTGCAACTGTAATTATAATGTCTGTGAGTCATGGAAAGATATCGAATGGCAACTTGAATGTTAATCGTGCAGATGTGTACTCGGCTTGTGCCATAAGTAGGCAAATGAGCAGACGGATTACCTGATGGTAAGCAATCAGCGCCGCCCATGGACACTTGTAGTACTAAAGGAGTTACTACAAGTACCTTGCGAGCTTCTAGTGGGTTATTAGGGATTTAAGGTTAGGGCATTTGGAGGATTAAAGATGAGGTGGAGGGGGGAAGTCTCCTAATAATTTCTAATTGTAAGTTTGAAATCGCCAATCATTCTTAAGCAAGCGTGCTGATTAACACTGAAGCCTTGAAGCCTTTGCGCAGTAGTAAGCACTTATAGGCTGATAGTGTATGCGGTCGTTTCCTATTAGCCAAATTCAATACTTTTATCCTAATGTCAAAAACGATACTTTTCTATGAAATTTGTATGAAACACTAAGTTATGACGTCATAGAATTTTCACGTCAAATAGGGTACTTATTTCTTAAAAATATCTAAAGTTTAGTGTATCGATCGATCGATGAATAAAAGTATTTTTAAATTTTTTATTGTATTGAAACGTTAAATTAATTTATTTTTGACTTAGGAAACTACCCAATTTGTGATAGATTGTAGCTAATATCTTTCATAGATTTGCATTGATTGGTCAAGAAGCCTTGCCCCAAAAAACAAAAGATACATAGAGAACATAAGAGCTTTCCCAACCGAAATACTATTCAAAGATTTACTTGTATCGACACTAACCCTTATTTTTTTTCTTACTAACAGGCTGATGGATCTCCAGACAACATCGATTACCTAGACACGTGGAAGGGTATGGAGGAAGCGAAGCAGTTAGGTCTGACCACATCAATTGGAGTGTCTAACTTTAACATCTCACAGATTGACAGGTTGCTATCAAACAGCAACGTGCCGCCTGCTGTTAACGAATTTGAGGTAAGTTTGTATGAATTTTGTTATTTAAACTTTATAGGCAATTAGACGCCGCCCGCAGCCTGGGCTACGTGGTATGTTGATAAAAAGTAGCCAGCCAATTTGGCACAGGCAGGTATGTCCTATTCCGGAGTGTATCCTATGCCTGTGCCAAATTTTATTCAGATCTGTTCAGCCATTTTGTCTGGACTGAGTAAGTAGTCGTGGTGGCTCGGAGGTTAAGGAGCCCGCTTCTCATGCATGAGGGTGTGGGTTCGAAACTTAGCAAGTATCAATGTGACTTTTTCCGAGTTATATGTACTTTCTATGATAATTTGGGCACCACTGACATACGGTGAAGGTAAACACCGTGAGGAAACCTGGACTTATACTTTCTAATTATAAGTTTGAAATCGCCAACCCGCATTGAGCAAGCTTAGTGATTAATGCTCTAACCTTCTCCGTATGAGAAGAGGCGTTTCTCTTTCTATTAATGTCACGTATATGTAATAGAGACTTAGCCTACAACTTTTTTTATAGCCCTGTATTCAGATCTCTTAGTTAGAGCTCCAAATAAGCCTAAAAGCAAACTTCTAACATCTGAATTAACTAAAAATCGCGGGTAACTCACATGTATAAATTGCGAAAAGCTCTACTACTTTCTATTATTTTTATCTATGCTTAATCTAAGCATTTGAGAAATTTTTCGTGGCAGCTTTCTTGTGCCAAGGCAGCGGTAGTATATAATGTTTATTTGTTAGAAATCTACCATCTTGAAAATTAAGCCAATTTGAGTGAGAGATAAATAAATTAGTCACAGACAAAACTAAACTTTATTAGTAGATTATTACATACATTAGGATAGACAGAGCTACTTGTCAGATATCCCGTATTTGATAGATGCTTGTTCAAATATAGATAAAATAACAGCAAAGTTCGATTCATTTTCTTCCAGGTAAACCCCACTCTAACCCAGGAACCACTAGTCCACCACTGCATGTCTCACAACATAGCTGTGATGGCGTACAGTCCATTCGGTTTCCTGGTCTCCCGCAGCCGTCCTGATGCTCCCCCTCCAAGATATGACGACCCAACGATCGGTGCCATCGCTGCCAAATACGGCAAGAGTCCTGGACAAGTTGTTCTCAGATTTGCGGTGAGTAAATTAAACTTCAAAGTACACATCAGAACGTTTTCAGGTCGAATGAGACAATTTTATTTACAATCACAAATTATACATAACCTGACTAAATACATGGTTGATGCGGTGATTTGGACATCATAAGTGTGGGAGAGCAATGCTTCGGCACGAATGGGTCGGCTCGACCGGAGTGATACCACGGCCTCACAGAAAACCGGCGTGAAACAACCACAGCGTTGTGTTTCGCCGTGTGAGTGAGGTTACCGGAGACCCAATCCTTCCCCTCCCCGGACCCTTCCCCAATCCCTAAATCTCCAAATCCCTAATCCCTAAAAGGTCGGTAACGCACTCGTAACTCCTCCGTTGCGGGTGTCCATGGGCGGCGCTGATTGCTTACCATCAGGTAATCCGTCTGCTCTTTTGCTGACTTATTACATAAAAAAAAATCTGTTGCCATACACCGTGTTGCCCGTTCGATCCCCACACTAAACAACTGTGATCCACAGATTATTGTGCCGGCTCTGGATGAAATGTAAATGTGAAATTGTATAATGATAAACGCAACCAAGATACGGGACATATTTCTCGTAGAAAGAGTATCTTAACTTATACCAAAAACTATAATTTATGGATCACACAAAGACTTGTTCAGTTGCACAGAAAGCATGGTTAAGTCGGTGGGGATTGCGGGTGAAAGCACAATACAATAAGGTACAGACAACCTGGAGTAGGAGAAGGGTTGGTTATAGTCAGTAAGAGTCTTACACTCTCTCAAGCCACGACCAGGACGGCAGAAGACTTTTGGAGATTTTTTCCTTCAAAAATTAAGCAAACAAATAATAATATTTTTTTTTTCACCATCAGATCGAACGTGGTCTCGTCCCGATTCCCAAGTCCACCAACCAGAAACGGATAGCAGAGAACATCAACATCTTCGATTTCGAACTGACGGCTGAGGAGGTCGCAGCGATCAGCAACTTTAACAAAAACGTCCGTGTCATTGAAATCGAGGGCTGGAAGGACTATCCCAACTATCCTTTCTAATTTAACACTAATAAGTAAATGTTCATTAATATTTAATGACAAATAAAATATTATGTTAAAATTATACCTATACGTTTTTCATTTAAAAACTAGAACTACGCTTGACCTTAACTAGGTGGATATTTTGAATCATCACAATAAAAATAATGTGCCTACCTTTAATTTAAGAGCAAACTCAAATTGTTACAAAAATACAAAAAAATATTCATAATATATTTACATAAGGTGGTATCTCTTTAAGCAAATTAAGCATGTTATGGGAGACGCCAGTCTTCCGCTCAGGGTAAGGCGAGAGAGAGAGTGTCAGACTCTTATTGACTAAAAACCCCCCGTTCCTTCTCCTGTTCTGAGCCGAGGTGATCTACAACCCTGGCTCAACCTCGGAATAATCACTCGTTAGACTAACAAAAGACGTCAGTGATGTAGACTGCCAACCTTCACTGAGCGTTGCTATTTATTCAAAAGGAAGAATTTTGGCGATTACGTAAAGCCAGAAAACAATAAACAATATAAAGTATTCGAAATATTTTGAGGTCTATACATAATGAATTCTTTATTAACTACGCAATTCTGAACTAGGTTGTGTGTGCTGGGTTTTCTTGCATTTGCAATAAGATGATCTTGTGGATTGGTTTCAAATGTGATTGTTTTTAAATTACCGCGTAGGTACAGGACAAGACTAATGACATCTTTACTACGCAATTCTCACACCAATAATATAGTCAGTAGCCAAAATAGTGGTTGCATTAAAATTTTATTTTTACTGCTTTTGATGTCATTGGAATAACCAACCAAGAGCCAATAAGCCTGATGCGACCTAAACCAATAATATGAACAGTTACCAAAGCCCACCATGTATTAAGAGTCCCAAAATCCTTCTCACCCCACTGAGGGCTGAAGAAGACGTGGTTGATCGTTTTCCCCCAATAAAAAAATCCTGTATATCAAGTAATTCTAGATTTAAAGTTATCATTTGTTTGTTACTCGGCAGTCAGTTATTTTTGTTTTATAGATACCTTGTAGAAACCCTTCGCGGATATACCTACATACATATCAAGGATTGAGGATATACATATACATATATCTACGTTCCATCATCATTATCAACAAGTAAGTGTCTAATGCTGAGCAAAGGCTCTTCTCGCATGAAGAAGTTATGAGCATTCATTGCTGGTGCTTCACTTGCTCAATTAGAATCTGTAAGTTGAGGTTTTCCTCACGCTCGAGAGATAATCTCCGGGCACCGCAAGAGGGGGTTTGCGGACGGAGGAAGAGTAACTCGCCGACCGACCAGAATCAGATCCGAGCGTACAGCGCATAGCGTGCCACGCGCGCCTCAAAGAGCCAATAGACCACTACAGACGTGGCCTAATAGGGCTGATGTTCAGCCAGGGTTGCGAGTTAAACGAAATTAGTCACCGCGGCCTTGGCCCAGAGCAGGAGAAGGAACACTCCGACTCTCTCTCGCTTTACCCTCGGCGGAAGAAATCATTTGATTCGAAAAGAAAAAGGTTTCCTCAAGCTGTTTTCCCTATACCATTTCAGTGGTGTCTGAGCAATCTTACAAATTCCTTGAAACTGTTGCGATTCGATCCCGCTGCCTAGCCTCTAAATAGACTTGCCACCACAAATTTAAAATGCTTATTTTATTAAGCTGTATCCTTCAAACCACAAAATGACAGACAAAGATATTCTACAGTATCGTTCAAAATTATATCTTAATAGGACCTAATTATGGATGATATTTGAAGGTGAAGTCAAACAGTGCATTCCTGACATTTCAACCTAAGCTTTGTTAGTATAGGTATGTGCATCGTGAGTACCTCATTGTTAAGTTGGTATGTTTTATATTTACGATTTTTAAAAAACAATATTTAATGATATTCTAATGGTTTTATTCTGCGCAGGATTAAGTGGACGTACACAAAATAAGTATAAAGTAGAAGAAGAACCTATTTCCATATGAAAAACAGAGTAAACACATGATATGATGATTAAGATATCGAAAAAAATATATATCAGTAATTAAAAGAAAACTTTAATTTTTTTGGAATTACGACGGATGATGAGCAACAATCTCCGGCCACCATAACCGTTGCCATCCTTGCTCGCCGTCCGACAAGAATCAGACCTAAGCGTAAGACGCGTAACGTTTCTCGGACGCCTGATAGAGGCAATAGACCATCACAGATGGGGACCATCAAGGTCTATATTCAGCAGGGAGGTTTTGTCAGTAGGAAATTGATACTCACTCTCGCCCAACCGAGGACGCAAGAAGTCATCGAGACATTTTCCTCGAATTTATAGTATTTTTAAGTGCTTTTCATCTTCGTGTTCTTTCGGATTGACGACATGACCATTATTTTATGCGGAACTCTATTATTACACAATGCTGCACGAACTACAAGTATAATTAAGTATACCAGTTATCCTGTTTGCACATCTTTGATAGTATTGTTGTGATTGCTTTAAGGAAACCGGTTTATGTATAGTATGAACATCAGTATACATATCAGTATCATGAAATGAAACTAAGGATTTTATTGTTTAAGATTATTTCAATTAACTAATTGAAATGGTATCTGTCGTGGTGTAGGACAAGGGAAATACCGATAAGTTTTTTGGAGATGTACTTTCTAAGATTATTTAGACACCACTGATTTAAAATGAAGCGGAACATCGTGAGGATTTTCTTTTCGCTCTTTATTATTGTTTGGTTTGGCAAACGAGCAGACGGATTACCTGATGGTAAGCAATCAGCGCCGCCCATGGCAACCAACAACATCAAAATGTGAGAAGCATTTTTGGAGAAATCTTTAAAGAAATATATAGAAATGCTCGTTGCTAACGACTGCTTTTTTCATAATAAATCAAATAAATTTTACTAGACCAAAATATCTGTCACAAAACCTGTCCACTCTTGTTTGTCTTCTGTTGAGAAGTTGATAAGCAGATCAATAACAAAAAATAATCGAAGTTCATTCCCATGCTGGCGACTAGATAGACCAGTTTTTTTCTATAAATATCTACTTTATCCTTTTTGAAAAACAAGTCGTTCATCCTGTGATGTTGCTAATCCAGTTTTGTTTGTACCTTCTAATAGTATATATATATATAGAATATTAATTGGTTTGTTAGTAGAGTGGTCTTTTTTTGTATTGTTCCCAGTTTTAATGAAGAAGGGGTTTTTGTAAATTGTCATTGATAATAATAGTTCTTAGACTCCGGATAAGACTGAAATTAACCTCAATGTATGGTGATAAGGAAAGATGCTTCTATACCATGGACAATATTTGGGACTAACGTCTCAATACTGAGTGAACTCAAAATCTCCTCACGACTATCATCCAAATGATAGTCTAAAGAGAATACTATAATAGAGAATAATATAATAGAGAATCCTGAGAAGAGTCCTTGAACACTTTGGTCACATTCCAAGGAAAGATAGAAGAAACTTATTGTGACTGGAACAGTAGACGGAAAAAAAGGTCTCGTGGTTGCAGACCAGTATGTAGGTCCAATCAGATCCGCTGCTTTAGATCCATAACGTCCTCTAGTGACAGAATGAGACGGTAGAAGATGGCGAGAGAGAATGTGACGCAGAAGAGTGTGGTCACGACCCCGAACAATTAAGAACGCGACACAATAAAGAGAGGGATGGCAATAAGTTCAATCCTATCTAACATATTCTAGCCGGGGTTACGAGTGCAAGCACAATAAATAATTGTCAATGATTTATCGCGACCTAGTTCGGAGCAGGAGAAGTACCGGTATGAATTTTAGTTAGTAAGAGATGTTAGACTTTGGGATTTCATTGACATGGGATGATTTTTCCCCTCAAAAACCCTTATACACACTTCATTACACATTATTACACATTCATTGAAACCCATAATATTAAGTGGTGAAAAGGCGACGTTACTTGAGATATGAACATTAAAAATGTTTGGACTCGTAATGGCGACTTTAAAGGAACGCTTTGTGATCATTTTAATGATGTAATTCTGCTGTCGTAATATTGAAAACCTGATGGTGCTCATGTATTAAAAAGGAGACATTTTTGTTTTGTGGTTCGTGTGAGCGAGGTTACAGTACTTTACTAAGTTTGGAGATGGACTTGAAGAGTAAAATTGGATTTTACCAAATTCGTCGAGTTTACTCAAACACTAGTGAAAGAAAGGTACAAGAAACTGTTAATTATATTTAGTTTATGGAGCTCTACTTATCAGAGGGCTAATCATGTTCGCTACAGACTACATGATATTTTTTTCTTATCCAGACTCTATTGAACGTGGGAGACGACGGCACGAATGAGTTATTTGATGACTCGTTTTCAAATTATCTGGCCCAATTAAAATAAACAATCAATCAAATCATAAATAATCCCAGCTGGAGTATTTGGGAATCGTGAGGAAATTTTCTAGGACCTCGCCCAACTATTGATAATATCATATTACATTTATCCAGACTTTGCCCGTGTTACCCAAATCGAAAGTATTCCTATCTGTTATTCCAGACTATAATCTACTGTACCAATTTTCATCAAAATTCATTTAGCAGGTTTTGATCCATACTTACAAACTTTCGCGTTTAGTATTTTAATAGGATTTATCTGTAAAACTATTAACTAAATAATGAATCGTGTCGTGTTCGTATCGTGCTTGCTAAAAACTTGTTTATTGTCCTTTTAAGCTCAAAGCGTATCTGCGATATGGTAAGCGTCAGTCCCGTCCCATCGTCAGCAAGATGAAGTTCATTGTAAACACGGTCGCCTTCTTCGCACTTTTTCATGTAAGTTTACATTTATTTTATTTACTTTGTAAATTTTAATGATTTTTCGAGATGTTTGTAAGTATGTATGTATAAGCTTAACTCTTGAACAACTGCACTAAATTAGATTTTTATTTTCGTTTTGGATTTTTCTTTAAGTTATAAAGCGTGTGTAGTTAGACTTTTTAGAGATTTAAATACTAAATTACTTACTTATCTTCTCATTCGTAAGTGATTGAATCAATGTTTTAATAATATTGATATTTTAGCCAATAAACTAACTGTTATTTGCGTAAAAATACGCAAAATTTATACACTACTACAGCGCCAGAATAGTTGACGCGGTGGCTGAGCAATCGGCTGCCGTGCAATGTATCGCGGGTTCGATTCTATGTGTGATTCGCAAATTGCTGATGATGATGATGATGATGATGATGCTGAATTCTTTTTTATCACAGGTCATATCCGGATTGGCAGGGAAGGCTCCCACTAAAACATTGAACGATGGCAACCAAATACCTACGCTGGCTTTGGGAACTTATGGTTTCGTAAGTAGACATCATATACACACCTAACTTATGTTATTATTATGTTAAGTGTGATTCTATTTTGTTCTAATAAAAATACATAATGCTTAACACGTGGTAAAATAGTCTCTTAAGGATCGATGCAATAATTTGGACGTACAAATAAACAAATTTATTTCGGTGGAAATCGATTACGCAATGGCATATAAGAGGACAGAAGACGGTTAGTCAGCCAGTAATTTTTTTTGATCGTGGAAAGTCATCATTTGTCTTAAAATGGTAGGGTGTGATGGAGTCTCACTCTTACTGACTAAAAGCCATTGCATTCTTTCTCTTACTCTAGGTCGCGATATCGTCATATTATTGGGCTCATAGGCTTTGTTTCACAACACTTCCAAGATGGCATCCCAAAAATTTTTTTTTTTTTGTGGTGTTAAAGTAATCAAAAGATTTGCCCATGCCTTGGATGGGGTGAATGGGAATGACAGACTCTTATTGACTAAAACCCACCCCGTTCCTTCTCCTGCTCCAAGCTAAGGGCGCGGTAGGTACATTTATTTGTCTAGTTGTTTTCATTCTTAACTACTTCCAGGATGATATCCCAAGAATGCGCCAAGCAGTTAACTGGGCTATAGAAGCTGGATACCGCCATATTGACACAGCAGCTCTTTACGAGAACGAAGAGGAGATCGGGAAGGGTATCAGCGATGTTATCAAACAAGGGCTTGTGAAGAGAGAAGATCTTTTTATCACTACTAAGGTATGTTATGGAAGAGAAATAATGGAATAGGTATTTTCCTAATTCTGAATCGGGGAAATGATGTGAAAGGGATAGCGAGTGTGATTTGACGATATGTGATAAGTAAGAAGAGGTGTCCACGATAGGCTAGGTGTTTTAGCGGGTTCCTCTAAAAGCAGGGAAGGGGGAAAATAGGATACAATTTATTAATAATATTTTTACTATGAATCTAAAAAACGTTAAATTGATTGCATTGGAATAACAAACGTACCAAATCGTTTCTGCAGAGCGAATAAACATTTAAGGTATATGCAACGCAACTCATAAAGTATGTGTCGTTGAAAAGAATAGAAGCACAGGCAAATGAATCCACATAAATGTGTAAGTCATGTATTCTAAACACATTATGAGTGTACCTATGTATTCCTCTGATTTTAATGAGAATGCTCTTTAAAATCCCTTGTCGTCAGCTAGACAATATTTTTGCATAAATGTGTTTACCTATAGTCCGTATAATCTTTCTTTGATTTCTTTTTGGTGCACATCTTTATCCTTATTTAGAATATTTAGACACTGCAGCATAGCGACAAAACTACCTATGAATATTTTAATTTATAATAAATAATTATAAAAATAATTGACTTCTTTAACAACGAAAAACGCAAATTTCGTTAGTAAAGTTTTGATTCGTTTGTATTTCATATAATTTCACCCATTATTTAGGTAACAACATTCATCTACACAAGTTTTGGGATTCTAAAGAATTCGTTTTTTATGACGTATATTATGGCAAACGAGACGATGGGTCACCCGATGGTAAGCATTCGGAGTTGTCCACGGAAAATTGCGACACTGCATTTTAAAATAATAGGCAAATTGTGGTTTGGAGTTTTCGGTATTTGGAGATTTTGGGTCATGATGATGAAGGAATGGGAGGAAGATAGAATATTATTATCACTTGAGTTAGTTACAAATAAGTCTTTTTTCTTGTAGCTCTGGAATGATAAGCATGCTCATGACCAAGTCGTGCCGGCTCTGCGAGAGTCCCTCTCCAAGTTGGGACTAGACTACGTCGACCTGTACCTCATTCACTCGCCTGAAGCTACCAACGTGAGTATACTTGCTTTAAAAAGGTTTCATATGTATAGAACCTAATGTGGCTTTGTGGTCGGCAAAAACTGTAGCGGCTTACTTAATTGAAAAAAAAAACAGATTCAAATGATCGAACGATGTAGTTCTTGCTAGCAACGAAAGTGTAACTTTTTCCAATTTTCTCCTCTACTTTACTAATATTTTAATAATGTACAATTAAGTTGCCAGGGCTTCCCTAAAAGTACTCCGAAGGTACTTATGTCGAGTTTATTACTTTGTTTGACGTTCAAAAGTGCCTGTATGGGTCTAATTGAAATTAATGACTTTTGACTTGGCTTTTAAACCAAAACAAGTTGTAACTATGCACATCAATAAATAACTTATACTAGCTTAAAAAAACACTGAACTAGGTATCATATAATTTTTCTTCTAGGCTGACGGTTCTCCCGCTAACATCGACTTCTTGGACACCTGGAAGGGAATGGAAGAAGCCAAGAAACTTGGCCTAGCCAGGTCCATTGGAGTGTCTAACTTCAACACTGAACAAATCGATAGGATCATTAAGAACAGCCTGATTGTGCCAGCCGTCAACCAAATTGAGGTATATGATTGATTTTGTAACTTTTATATGGATATGTCGGTAGATGGTCAGTCGGATTACCTCATGGTACGCTGCCTGTGGACTCATACAACACGATTTAATTAACAGATTAAGGGAAGGGAACATTATGCCTCAGTCAACTTCAAACGAGCAGACGGATTACCTGATGGTAAGCAATCGGTGCTGCCCGTTGACATCCGCAACACCAAAAGCCGGCCGTTTAGGGATAAGAGTTTTGGATAATTAACGATATTTGAGAAGGGATGGAAGGTGGGGGAGGTATTGGGCCTCCAGTGAACTCACTCACGCGGCGAAACACATCGCTGTGATTGTTTCACTCCGTTGTTCTGTGAGGCCGTGGTATGCACTCCGGTCAAGCCGACCCATTTGTGCTGACACTTTTTGTACTCTCTATTTTAACAACTAAAAAAGTTGGTGGAACTCTTATCTTTCATAAAATAAAGTTATCAGAATTGAGAACCTCGTCCTTTTTCGAAGTCGGTTAAATGAATAAACAGGTTCTCTTTAATGTTTGTTTATTATGTTGGCAATAATTACACCTATACCTACCTAACACGTTCGTTAAGTAATTAATGGGAAATCCCATTTTTTTGCACCACCTACAATTGATTGGATTCATAACTAGTTATACAAGTTTCCGAAGATTTTTAGAAAGATTTTAATCCTTGCTCCATATAAAAAAAGACTTAAAGTCGTTTAAAACTGGTCAAAAACAAAAACCGATTACTTTTTTGTTGACTTTTATTATATTAACCAGTTTACTATTTTTCCTTATTGAAGTTTTTAAATGTTGGGCAATAACTACGGTTGTAGTCTTTTGAATCTTATTGCCATGGACATAGAAGTGATGTTTAAAAAATGACATTACTTCAATAAAAGTCCCTATAGCACATTTTGAAGGACAATTTTGAGGTCTTTCACATCATGTTATTGATTTTGATAGGTATTTTTTTTGACCTTGAAAAGGAACTTAAATAAATCTATAATCAAAATCCAAACTAATATTATAAATGCGAAAGTAACTCTGTCTGTCTGTCTTTTCTTCGCGCCTAAACTACTGAACCTATTTCTATGAGATTAGGTACAGACATAGTTTGGAGCTCAAGAAAGGACATACGATAGTATTTATACAAAAAATCTTCAGGAAGTCACTGTTACACGCGAATTGAGTCGCAGGCAAAAGCTAGTATTGTTATAGCTATCTCAAAACATTACATAGATAGAGATACCAACGTGGCATGTAAGTTGAGCAGTTGCTTATTCACAGTATGAGTCTAGAATACTAATAATGCGAATGCTTTGTTTGATCCTTGCATGACAACAGCTGCAAACATAATAGGATGATTCCTTATTGTACACCATTTTTACAATTTCAACAATGCAAACAAATGAATAAAAATGTGTAATCGAGTGCCTGAATATGGGGTAACTTTGTTCTTACTCCGTTATCAATATAGCCATACATCAGTACGAACGGGCTGGCTCAACTGGAGTGATACCTCAAGAACACCCGCTGGTGTTCTGAAACAACGCTTGAGTGAGGTTACAAGAGGCCCCATCCTTCTTCTATCCACTTCTAACCTCAATCTGCAAATCTCTAACAACACACATAAGGACAGGAACGCAGTTATAGCTCTTTTGGTCCTCATGGCATCTATGGATGACGCCGATGACTTACAATCAGGTAGCAATCAGGTGATCCATCTGTTCGGTTGTTTTTCGACCAATACCATTAAATGGGGTGGGTTTCAAATGAAATGCAACCTACCTATTTTGAAACTTCATCTACTTATAATAAGATGGGAATTCCATTGTACATTTCAACTACATTTCAAATAATTTTCGGCTTTCAGGTACACCCCTCATACTCCCAAGAAGAGGCTGTAAAGGACTGCTTTGAGCGCAACATAGCTGTAATGGCATACAGTCCTTTAGGTTTCTTCGTCTCTAGAGGTCAAAATGGAAAACCAGGCAAGGATGACCCCAAGATTTTGAACATTGCCAGGAAATACAACAAGACCGTTACCCAAGTCGTTTTGCGGTACTTGGTAAGTAAAATGGCATTTACAGGAAACTTCGAGAAAATGTGAACCAGGACATCAATAAATATGCTAAAAAAATTTTTGGTGATTTAACAGCTATCTCAAAGCCACCTATCATTCATGGGCAAGTCTTCTCACATCAAGGACAGGTCCAAGTTCACCAGACGTATCCCACAATTTTAGTCTCTTAAAAAAATCAATATAATTACAAGTTCTCATCACACAGAGAAGAAGAACAACCTGCGTCTCACTGTTCGGCAGCCGGTTGTACAGCCACCTCATTAACTGTGTCAGGGAAATGAAATGACATTTATATTTCCAATGAAATTAGAACCAAACTCTTCACTTATTGTCCTCTTGGCGATATTACTTTTTCTTCATTGTCCTTCACCAACGAATCAGCTTTTTTTTGAACGTGGATAATCGTCAATCCCTCCCTTGTTTTGAGCAAACATCTTGCCTCACCTTGGGCGGAGAGATTTTTGAGTGTCACTCTTACTGACCAAAAACCTCCAGTTCCATCTCCTGCTCCAGGCTGAGGCAGCGGCACCAAAGAAGCAGCTTGAATCATTATTTAACCTATTTGCTTGTTTTGTCTTCCAGTTGGACAGAGACCTGATCGTTCTTCCAAAGTCTACCAAGAGACACCGCATTGAAGAAAACATTAACGTCTTTGATTTCCACCTGACTCCTGAGGAGATGACCGTGATGAAGAGTTTCAACACAAACACCAGTATTTTTGACTAAATCCCTTTATAATTATGAGTCTTCCCCGAATACTTTAACATACTATGTTATACCATTTGTAAAAAAAACTTCGCTTCAATAACTTTGCTCGAATGATTATTTGTAGCCAGTTCGTAGACTCAACATCCATCCAAAATTAAACCTTTTGTTAGACAAATAAAATATGATTTTTGAATTAAGTGTATTTTTGCTGAAGCCACTTTCTGAAAAACAAATCCCTTTTATAATTTCGCACCTAAGTTAGATGGAAAGCAAAAAAAAATCCTTACATTTTTCTAGATAAGTTTTATTTAAAAAATAATTAAAATACCACAGTTTATTATTTTTTTCGCAATTTAATTGCTAGAGCAGCATTCGTGTTTGATATGATTATATTTTTATAAAAGTAATATTGCAGTATCGATAACATTAGAAGCATTTTCTGTTGATCAAATTTCTATATCTAATCTGTAAAATAATGCACTAAAACATTTACATAAATTGCAACTTAAAATAATAGTAATAATAAGATCTAATTTATAAAAAACATTAACTAATATAAACTTGAATACCCTTTTAGTTCTAAGATTATAATGATGTGTCGCACTGAGGTGAAATGTAGAATGATTTTAATGGAAGGCGCTATTTTTATAAATCATCAGTTTTTTCTTGTCTTGTTGGCCAGTTATGATATGCGATCCTAGTTATAAATTCATTGAATAAACGGTTCACTGAGTAAATTCATCGAATAAGTGGTTAAACTATTTTTGTAAAAACATCTCTAAAATAAGAACTGATGCATACTAGATACTAATATCACTTTTGTATCAAAACATCACAAAAAGAAAATAAACAAAAAGTATTTCTTACACCCTGTACACAACTCTAGTCACAGATTAAAAAAAACTTAATTTAATAATGGTATCAGTTTGACAATCTCGCATCTGTCATCGTGACATTTCAAGTGATGTGACGTTGTCAGCCTGACATTTAAATCGATATGAATCAATCGATTGAGAGTTGTCTGAAGGAGCCATCGATTCCGAATAGCTCATCGTAGTTGGTGGGTCTGCCTGGCCGGAGCGATTCGTTGGCAATAATGCTGTCTTGGCGCTTAAACCAATCGCGGTATTCTTGAAGTTTTAGCTTCCATTGCTCTGTAAAGAAGAAAAATTTAAAAGTTTAACAACACAAAATTCAAATTCAAACTTGAAAATTAATACCTTACAGATTTTCCAGAAATTTATCAAAAGCTTGTAAAAATTGATTTTTTTTAATGGATCTGCGTTCCGTTTTGTGAAAAAGGATGACGTGTGCGCCAATGTGAGCACATTTGACGATCGGTATCGTGAAAAATAAATATTATCCTACCTTGTAGAGTTGCTATGCTGCCACACTGGCCACCGTACTCCGAGGGCAGCATTTCTTGAGGTATGTACTTGTATAGGTCTTTCACATCTCTATGGATGTAGATCTGAAGCACAAAAATAAATAATTTATTTATAAATGTAGAAGAAATCTTTATAATTTGTTATAATTTTAATGGTGTCAAATAAGTCACGTGTACTTTGCTTACTCTTTTACATCAGTGAAGGTAAGATGACTATTGCAACATTGTGTGCTGCAAAATAGGTATAGCATATCTTTCTTTCAGAATAAAGATAGGCTTGTTTATAATAATCATATCTTACCCGCTTCCTTATCTTCTCCTTAAGGAAAGGTTTGACGAAGTTGACAAAACGCTCGACCAGCGGCGATGTGTTTATGATGTGGACCTCTTTTAATTTGATTGGATAAGCTTCCTGAAAAATAAAGCGTTATTAAATTAGTTTTAAATAGTTTGTTAGAAATTAAGAAATCTCTATTCCTTTTTCGAGCAAAATATCATTAATCAGGTATTTTGTTTCCTAAATTCTCTAGGATTGAACCAAGCCTTTGTCATCTCCATGGTTTGCAAATGTTTTCTATGAAAGGAGCTGTTTTATCCATTCAGAAAGATATATTATAATGGCAATTTTACTATACAAACCTGCACACAGATCATAAACTTCTTGACAGTGGCAGCGGACAGCTTGGCCAGCATACTGGCTCCCAAGATCGCAGCGTCCAACACATAGATGTCTCCAGCCACTCCTTCTCTTTCTTCAGTCAGACGTACATCACCTATCATGAGAGCTAGCTTCAGAGCATCTGTGATCTGCTGTGAACTTAGATCGGGGTGGATGCCTGGAAGAAGAATAACAAATGAGTACTACCGTATCAGTACTACAGTAAAGTTTAAAAAAAATAACTTGTTTTGTGCATTAAATAAATAAATAAACTAGATGGGGTCTCGAGATATCTTTTTGAAATACTAAAAGTACGAAACATGAATTAGTTTTTGGGTTTAGCACCAATTTCATCGACGAATCTGTTATTTTTTGTTGTTTTTTAAGGTTCTGAATTAAGTAAACTTTAAGCTTTTGACCCTGACATACGTGGATAATAGCAAAGTCCTCTAAAGGCCTATTGGATTAATGGATAATAAAGTTTTAATTGTGGGAAGGCTATGCTTCAGCACAAATGAGCCGTTTCAATCGAAGTGATATCACAAAATACTGGCGTGAAACATCGCTTTCATTTTATTTCGCCGTGTGACTGATAAGAAGGAAATTCGAGAAGTACTGAGTCTCCAGTAACCGGGCCTCACACACCCATATAGATATCCAAATAAAAAATTTCCGAGCTATCGTAAAAAAAAACTGTCCTTCGCCATATTATATTAATATAGCAACTCTCACCTCTGCAAATAGTTACTCTTCTACCATTTGGTGTGACGCCTGGAAGTGGTGGTCCTTGGCTGGAAGAAAATAAAACAATATTGAATGTCTGTAATGATTATTGGATACATAAACGGTATTAAGATCGTTTATGCTACTAAAGGCTTATTTCATAAAATTTAGATCGCCACCAAAACACTAATTTATATGAATACATTAATTGTTGTTCCACACTAGGATTGTCTACTTGTGTCGTGTTACATCCATCAGCAACCCAGACCCGGAACACAAATAATTTCTGAATCACACAAAGTGTCGTGTGGGAATCGAACCCGCGACATGTTGCACAGCAGCCAGTTGCCCAGCTACTGCGCCAACCTTGTAGCCAATAACCTTCGTAGAAGTATTCGATAAACTAATGTGACACATAAGTAAAGATGAAAAGGACAAAAAAATACAGTCTGTGTTGCTTAAGTTTGAAATAAGTACAGAAACTATAGAAATTTCAAGGCATTTTTCAAAATGAGCATCTTACATTTTGTTAGTCATAATCTCGTTGAGTTCAGGTCTGTTGGCGTCACGTTTCGTGAAGAACTCTGGGCAGGCTGCTCTCATCGTGAAGTACATGTCCAACTTCCTTTTGCATTTCTCTAATGAGAAGCTGCTGCCTCTTAGGAAGGTCATTATTGGAGGCGTTTCTGCAAAAAACATTTTTTCATTTAAGTACCAGTTGTATAACTGCTCTATTAGGATTGGTTCCACTAAGGCAGAATGGTGGAGTGGAAGAAGGTAGTTGGTCTGGCTTGAAATGTTCATCCATGAAGCAAAGCGTAGAGGAGATGTCTATGGGATTGGGGGAGGGAAACACTGGACCTTGTTAACCTCATCAACATAGCGAAATACAACGAAAGCGTAGTTTTACACCGGTTTTTCTAGAGGCCGTTTTCTTTTCTTTTTCGGTATCTGGGAGGCCTCGGAATCCTTCCTCTCCACCAATCCATTCCCAATTCCTTAATCCCCAAAAAGGTCTGCAACGCACTGCAACGTAACTCCTCTGTTATTGCGGGTGTCCATGGGCGGCGTTGATTGCTTACCATTAGGTAATCGGTCTGATCGTTTGCCAACCTATCACAAAAAAACTCTCGGTCGAGCGGAGCTTTTTCCTCACATTCCCACTCATAGTCTTCCACACTTAGCATATAAAAACATACCCCAATCATCAGGCAGATGTGGCTGCTTCTTCAACCACTCTCTAATAGCTGCCACGTCTCTGTCACGTGTCGTCACATCCTCCTTCAGCTCCACTCGGATGCTCTTCCACAGCTCCCCACTAGGCTGGACCAGCAGCTCTTGTTTCAACTTCATTTTTTATCTGGAACTAATGAAATTTTTGGTTTTGAGAAAAGGGGTGGAACGGTGTTAGAAGAAGAAAGAAAGATAATTTGCAAGATGGCGATTTGTAGGTTCGAAATGTAAATGCGCGGATTGTAAAATAAAATACAATATACACAATAGGTATTCATTCACTTTGCTTATAAGCAAATACTTTTTTACACTCAGAATAATATTGCATTGTATCTACCTAATTAATATATGTGTATAGATACAATACATATATATGTGTTTATAGGTGTTTCCTCATGGTTATTTTTATGTTGTTCTTTTTTGTATTAAAGTGACATTGTAAAAACTCAGTTTTTAAAAAGTTACAATGAACATTTTGTTAATTTCTTTCCCCTCGAATCTACACTGTTGTTTAGTTTCGAGCACCTAGCTTCATTGACGGATAGACAGACGGACAATTATTTTATTGTTGACCTTTCAGGAGTAGGTACCTGGTTGAATAGGAATAAATGTTTTCGACTTTAAATTTGATTTAGTAATGTTTACGTGCAAGAGTAACAAACATCCGTACTTACAAACTTTCGTTTTAATAATATAAATATTGAATACTTATTTATAAAAGCAAACGGAATAAACCCACTGACCGTATTATGACTCAATTATTGACTAATAATGTTGTGACAAAAACATTAATTTTCGACATTAATAAGATTACTATAAATACACAATTTGCATAAAGATACATTTCAACATGTAATATTAATTAACACCGGAATATAAACAGTATCCTACCTCAATAAATTTAAAAATTGGCAATCGATTGTAAGCTTCTCAGTTGCGCGTGCGCCGGTGTTAATTCATTGCCCAATAACATCGCGCGTTGTACCCCAAAGGTTTGCAATGTTTGTGGACCATCACTAGCTAACATGTGTTGTAAACCGTCTATCTGTCTGTTGCAACTTTATTAGAACTGCGACTAATTCATCAGTAAAAGTACTATCGAACAAAGTTGTAAAAGTCAAACAAGTCGAAATCATTTATTTCAAATAGACCACAATAGGCACTTTAGAACGTCAAGCAAAAACAGAAATAAAAATATTTCAAGAGGTTTAACTATATATGCGTGTCAGTCTGTCCGTCTATCCTCTAGTGAAGCTATTTGCTTGTTTCAAATTGTAGATTCCTATGGAGAAGAACGAGCAAGAAACTCCATGGTTGCTCTTTTGTAATCAGTAAGTTATTGTTGTGTAGGTAACCGAACGGTTGCGCCGATAGTACCTTCTGTGGCTAACAGACCACCACAGATGAAGGCCCAACTGATGTCCAGCCGGGGTTGCGAGTTAAGCGCGATAAAGAACCTCATCCCCGGCCTGGAGCAGGAGAATCAACGGGATGTTTTTTTGTCAAAAAGAGTTTGACACTTCCTCTCGCTTCAACCAGGACAAAGGAATTAATTTGATATGTTTAAAAAAGAATGACAGGCTGATCGGTCTAAAGAAGATTAAGTGTTATTGCTTAACGGTATAAGATATTAAGATCCATTATCATCATCAGCCCATAAGTGCCCACTGCTGAGCAAAGGCATCTTCTCACACGGAGAAGGTTTGAGCAGGTTGGCGATTTCAAACTTATAATTAGTAATTATAAGTCCAGGTTTCCTCACGATGTTTACCCTCACCGTATATCAGTGGTGTCTAAATAATCATAGAAAGTACATATTATGACTCGGAAAAGTCACATTGGTAATTGCCAGGTTTTTAACCCACACCCTCATGCATGAGAAGCGGGCTCCTCAAACTCCGGGCCACCACTGTCTATTAAGATTGAATAACTTTATTTTCATTGACAGGAATATTTTACCTAAATATAAAATGACAGTGTGTTCAAAGTGTTTACGAACACTGAACAATTCTATTCGTATTAATAATCAAAGTTGTAGTGTAATAAATTGTATTGGAGCCATTTACATTTTCAATTCGTATGATTGTATCTTTAATGACACCTATCATTAACTGCATAAGAAGAGTGGAATATTTATAATTATAATTATGTAACTTTTAGCTATGGGAAATCTCGGAATATTGTGCAGTCAATTGAATAAAACGTAATAGAATATTAGAACCATTACGATTAAATGGGGAAAAATATGGATTTTGTACTGGAGATTCTGAACAATCTCTATCTAGTGATATGAAGTTAGGGTTAAGCGTGTATTTTTAGTACGGTTACGTTACGTTAGCCTTTGCTTCAAGTTTTAAATTTTAAATCGTGGTTACAATAGTAAGCGTTGTTTTATGTTGTTTGATGAATTAATTTTCTTAGATTATAGTTTTAAATGATGCGTCAAGTAGAATAGAAACAGAACTGGAAAAGATCTGCATCAAGAATTCACAATATAATCAAAGGACTTGTAATCAAAGGCTAATAGTGACTTTTTCAAAATTTCAAAAATATACAATAATGAAGAATTTACCAAATAGTCTAGGCTACCATTCAAGAGAGCAATAAAAAATTGTGTCGTAATATTTTTCACTAGAACTATCCTAAATTACACAGATATACCAGGAAAACTATAGGGATAGAATTAAATCAATCAGTGAACTTATCGTTATTTTTAGATATTTTAACAGATTTATTTGTGAAAACAATTAATGTTTTCATTCTTATTACAATTCCACGTAAACGACAACAGGAATCGACTTTATGTATTTAAGCACAAGCACAGAATCTACTTTCTAAAACATACATTAAAATACGGATTTATTAGCACCAATCAACCTATTTTACTCTTCTCTTGTTTTTCGTTTTTTAAATAAATTTCGCGTGCAGTTAGGCTGGTATACATTGCATCGAGGTAAATGCACCTAACTGTACTCATCGGTGCAACGGCGCTGTTCAGCTGTGCCTATAATAAAACTTGGCAGAAAGCATATAGATGGCATGGTCTCACGGGATTTTTCTTGTTCTTTTTTCAAAATAGTTTAAAGGTCTTTTTGATGTGATAGTATATAGGATTTGTGTGTTGAAGTAACGTGATATATAACTTTATTGTTTTAGAAATTAGTCTACTATTCAAAAGCTACTTGTTAAGAAAATTTAAATTTTAGAGTGATAGGCTCGTTTGCTACTTTAATAATATTTATATTAGACATTAGATATAAGAAATAACCAATTATAGTAAATTACGTAATGGAATTTAACACACAAAATAATCGAATATTTCATTCGAGAAAGTTTAAAATTGGAACGCGGTGTTTGTAAATATTCTTTATTGTTATATTATAACGCTTTAGACCTAAGTAAAGAATTCTATAAGATGCATTTTGCTTTGGCTTTTCTCAATCTTCGTAGTTATTTTTACGCTAGCCATATTATTTGTAATAACTATTGTACTATATATTTAACACATATGCATATTTTCATTGACACTGAACGTAGGTACTTCTTTATTTCTTACCTAGGTAAATACCCTGTCGAGAATGAGGAACTTTTCTCTTAAATGAAATGTCAAGGAAAAGTATTCAGAGCAAAAGTCATGTTGAAAGGTCTCTTACATTTTGTTAGTTAGACATCCATGCTTTTAAACAGGGTATTAATATTTAACCTATATTTTTGCACTATTAATAATTCTTTGAATGTACGAAAACAGATGTAATGATTTGTGTTTCATTCTTCAAAAATCTTTTAAACGGATATTTTATTAAATCAAGTGAATTAATAAAATATCGACAATAAAATATTGATACTCTTAATGCTATACTAATCCTATTTGTACGTACGTGTGTACGTTATATAAAAATACATGACAGAATCTTGCTGAAGCTGAAAATTCATACAAAATCTTGACAATTTTAAATTGTTATCTAAGTATGTTACATAATATTTTTATCGATCATATTTTTACTCTTGCAGATATTACGGTGCATAATTTTAGTAAATAGTGTTAGAAAAACTAACAGATTTTGAAAAAAACTGTAAGTCTAGTTGTGTGATGTTCCTTCTAGTTGAAACAAATAGCTGAGTCATCCTGTTAAAAACAAAACTAAAGATACCAATTGAAGAAAAAAAAATGATTTACACAAAAAAAATATAATTCTCATTAAATTCTACATGGGAAAAGTCACAGGCCAAATCAAAATGGTAATTACTTAAAAAACCAGTTCCAAAATTTTATATTTAGATTTTGAAGAAAACTGGTTTCTTCAATAAATTTGTTGTCAAACATTTTTGACCTAGAAAAATCAAAATGGTGTCTATGACCGGAGTCTTCGGATTATAATAATCTATTTTTAGAATCTACTGCAATAAATTTGTTACATAATTATACATATTATTAAGAGACATTTATATAAATTTATATTTGACCACTTTTAAAATTAGATTGATGTTGTAATGGATAAAAAAGAAGTTGCTAAAAACTAGGGCGTGGCGTGGTTTAGCGTACGTAAAATAATTATGACGTCATTATTATTCGAATATTACATACAACAATTATAAATAGGGGGAGTTTTTGACATTTCAATTCTTGAGTGCACGGTTGGCGAGGTGGCCGGGCAATGTGTCGTGGGTTCGATTCCCGCACGGAAGAACCACTCTTTGTGTGACCTATAAATTGTTGTTTCGGGTCTGGGTGTAATGTGTATGTGAAATTGTTTGTTTGTAAACTCATCCACGACACAGGAGATAATCCAAATTGGGCAACGTTTTTATAACAAAAAAAAAGTCCTGAATTTATATGGCCTAGACGATTGACTTTTATGTCCGATCAAGAATCAACGTTTTAGGATTCCTACAGTTATATTTTCGGCCATAAAAGCCTTTCTAAACATCATAAGATGTCTGTCTCAAAGACTTTCGCAACACAAGCTCTATGTTGACCTACGCTGGTTGTTATCCGTATTGTAAATGTGTATACGAACTATTGCAATAGTGGCCCTGACTCGAGTGGCATTGGGCGATGCCCTTGTACCGGCCAGGGAGGGGATACACCTATGGATTGAGGTTGGTAATGGCTTTTATAGTTAGTAACATTTT